TTTGTTGTTTTCTTGGTCTGCCAGGTAAACCAGTTTTTATTACTTGTGGCCTACCACGTCGAATATGTTGACATTCAGTACCGCTGCTTATCTCTTCACCGGTTGAACTACTTTTCTCAGCACTCTGATCTACTGTCTCTACGGCATCTTCATAATCGGACTGCACTTCGATTTCAGGTACGTTTGAATTTGAATCGTCTGAATTAATTGAAAAACTTGCTATCTCCATGGGTGAAAAATCGTTGTCTTTATTTGTACCCATCATAATGGATTCATCGAACTTGATATCGCGTTTTATAACTACTTTGCGCTTTTGTGTATCAAAAAGTCGATATGCTTTCGAATCGATGTCATAGCCTACCATGACGTACTCGTTGCCCCGTTGCTTGAACTTATTATGCTGCGATTTCTCCAAGGCTATCGCAAGACAACCAAATACTTTAAAATGCTTCACCACAGGCTTTCTTCCCATCCATAATTCGTTTGGGGCAACACCATCAAGCGCTTTTGATGGCGATCGATTCCGAATATACGCCGCACAATTTATTTTGCTTCAGCCCAATAGCCTTCACTTAGCCCCGAATGTACTAACAAACACCGGGCCATTTCTACAAGAGTTCTGTTGGCGCGCTCGGCTACACCATTTTGCTGTGGTGTATATGGCACAGGGAGCTGATGCTTAATGCCACATTCTTCCAAAAAACTCTTAAAAATCTTATTAACATATTCACGACCATTATCTGTGCGTAATGTCTTTATTTTGTTACCTGTCTGTAACTCGACCATTGCTTTAAACAATTTAAATTTTTCAAATACTTGATGTTTGGATCGCAAAAAATAAACAAACACTGATCTCGATTTGTCATCTATAAATGTCAGAAGATATCGTGAACCACCGTGTGATTGCGTATTGAACGGACCACATACATCCGAGTGTACCAAATCTAAAATATTCTTAGCACGATTTTCTGAAGCAGCGAAAGGTTGAGAACATATCTCGGTCTTCATGAAGGGTACACAAACAATATCATTACCATTTGTTATTGGATCAATTCCACTCACAAGTTTTTTATTTGAAAGTTCGCTTAGGCTCTGAAAATTAATATGCCCATATCTGTATATTCTCTTTAATAACGTACAAATTATTTTCTTTAAAAGCTTTAAAAACAATATAATTGTCATCCTTGTCTTTCCCCACTACACAACCATTATCAAATGTTGCGTGAAAACCTTTTTCATCAATCTTCGGAATTGAAATAAAATTCATGTGCAAATCTGGTACGTACAGACAGTTCGTTAATTTAAAGTTCCACTTTTCCACTTTAACCACAACATCGCCAATACCCTTCGCTTCAACATGATATTTCCCCGCTAGCTCAATTTTTTCACTATGTGCGTTCATTCTGACGAATAAGTTTTTGTCAATACACAACTGCACTGTTGCCCTTCTGCTACCGCAAAAACTGCCAAAGACTTCTGCTTTGTTCTCTCTTCTTTGCACTGTGCTGCATAGTGCCCTTTCTTTCCATAGTTAAAGCACTTGAAGTTTATCTTTCCCCTATTTCTACCGTTTTCGTTTGCTGTACTTGTTCTTTCCCCTTCTAAACGACCGCTACTATTTGAGTTGCTCTTTTCGTAGTTCTTATTCGAATTACCTCGTACCGCATATGCTTGCGCATTTTCGAAACCGTTATGGATGGCGTTGTTACAGTTGTCTTTACGACGCTCGCCTTCTTCCGTTATTTTAATCTTCAATGCATCCAATTTCGGTAGGTTATCTCTTGCTTCTAATGCCACCACAAGATTTTCGTAGCTTCCAGGTAAGCTCGCCAACAGCATGATCACCAACAGCTCCTCTTGTAGTTCAATGGCCACTTCTGCCAACTCGTCTACAATTTTTGAAAAATTGTCCATGTGTTCGCGGACATCATCGCCCTCTGCCAAACGTAGACCTAACAGCCTCTTAAACAATGAGACTTTTCTCACTGCGCCACTACTTTTGTTTAAATCTTTGATCACCTTCCACACTTGTGACGCCGTGGTACATTTTTTTATATGGTTCAGGCTCGTTGCCTTTACACACAGCATTATAGTTGCGATCGCCTTATTATTTTTCAATAACCATTCTGCCGCATTTTCGGCAGTTTCTTTCAATTCTTCCGATACCACCGGCCACAAATCTTGGTGAACGAGCACACTGCGCATTTGCAGACACCAAGTGTCATAATTGTTCGCGTCGAGCTTTTCTATGTTAAAGTTCATTTTCTCGCACATATTTGCATTCGCGACAAACAAAAAAGAATGATTTTAGTTTGTTTCGCGGCACTACTTGTAACTCTTCTTTTTTCGCGAAGTTACTGCCCAACCAAGCGCTGGCCTGGGCCCATAACCTGTTAAACGATATCCAAAAGAATGAGAAGCCGACCAATCGATGTTGATATCTTGACAGTTTATTAGTGAATGAATTCAAAGTATAAATAGTGTTACCATATTTACATACATAAGTAGAAAAGTATTGAGTTCGAAAAACGAAAAATATATAAGTGTTGCCACACTTTCTTGTGTACATTTAACAGTAATAATGTATTATTTTTCTGAGTAGAGTTGCCACCTGTTTAAAAACTATAAGTTTTGTGAGTAGGGTTACCACTTATTTAAAATTACTATCTTCTATACATAGTGTAAAGCAGAGGTGGGCACTCACACTATCACACACATGCGCTTGTGTGCGAAGCAGCGAAGTTTTGCTCAACAGCCAGTGCTCGGACTTTACCACATTTGTGGAATAGATAACACTTTACATTTCTACTACTTCTACCACCGTCGGCTAAAAAACTTTCAGATCTTGAAACTTTTTTTTTAATTTGTTCATTTTCGCATTAATTAAAGGGCATTTTCTACAACAAAACACAACATTGCTGCTGCGACGTCGACACATGTATGATATGATCGTATTCGTGCGTCTTAAGGCTGGTTTTCATTAGGTCAAAATCAGTGACATCAAAATCAGTGACATCAAAAACTGCCTTCATCTGACAGCTGTTCATTTGATGTCAAATGCGTTTTCATTACATTTTAAAAACTGGCCAAATGTCGATACCGCAGTGCATGTCAAAGACCGTCGTAAAATTTCGGTGTCAGATCATTGACATTCCGTTTTCATTACTGATGTCAAATGTGATGTTAAATTTTTACAAAAAGTGTAGAATACCGACCATTTAGCTATAGGCAAACCAAAAATGTAATTGGATAGAACTCTTCATGCTGATTTTAACCTTATCAAAATTATTTGGCGCAAGTAAAAAATTACGAAGATATAGTAGGTTAAGTTAAATTTTTCGATATTTTGAAATATGAATATCTTATGAACTACATAACCGATTAAACAACTATAAACATCAAAATAAAGATGATTAGTTTATCTTTCGGTTGATGTACATAATTTTTTATATTTTGGAGTCAGAAATGCAAAAAAACAAAAAAATTTAATTTTTTCCTTAAAATACCTTTTTTGAAAAAAATTGCATAGTTAATGCTACAGAAATTTATATTATTTAGAAAGTAAAAGTTATTACCTTATATAGAAAGGTTTGTTATAGGGCAAAATTTAACGAAAGTAGTGCAAAAAATCGAAATAGTATATATATTTTCTCTAAATATCGTTTACCAAAAATTTGTTTTAAAAAATGGTTATAGAAAATACGTCGTAAAAAGCCATTAAAATAATCTTTCAATTGGATTCAATTCTTTTCTAATCGGTCAAGTCGTTTCCGAGATATTTAACATATAAGAAATAGGAAAGTTGAAGTTTAACCTATTATATTTTCTAAGTCTTTTATTTGCCCCAAATAACTTGGGTATGGTTGAAATCAGCGTGAAAAGTTCTATCGATCTGCATTTTTGGTTGTTTTTTAGCTAAACGGTCCGTATTGTAGCTACAATCAGCTGTTCGCATGCCAAACGAAATCAAAATTGCCAACATGTTGGCAAATACGAGGGCCGTTTTCAATTGGATGTCATTTTATATGACCGTGCGTGGTGATATATAACAACAAACGCAAATTACACCAGATAACAACCCGTTTTCATTATTTTGACAACATTTGGCGTCAAATATGACCTAATGAAAAACAGGCTTGACGATAATTGACGATTGACTGATGCTTTGCTAGCACTTCGGCAAAGCAAATCAAATCAGTTGCTGCTGAGACTTCACTGCACAACTATTCGAATAATACACACATAAAATGTTTCGAGAGGAATGGGAAATACATTTTTTTGCATAGAAAACATGGATGGGTGTGCGCAATGCGTGATCTGCTATCGCGGTATGAGTCGCAATGTCATAGTCATTTTGAAAAGGTGAAAGAGTGTGATCGAGCACTGAAGCTGCTAGAATTTAAAGCAGCGTTTTTTATTAAATTTGGTGAAAGTAATATACATCAACTCGAAAAATATCAATGTCTATCAGAAAATGATTCTCTATCAGAAAACGATAGATCATTTCTAAAAAAAGCATCTTATTCCGTCGATTTGGCTTTTTATTTAGAATTTCTAGAAAAGTTTTAGGTATGCCGTTTTATAGCCTATTAGAATTTAGTAGCTCAAAGTTCAAATATCAAGCGCTAAAAAATCGCGTTGATTTTTAATGATTGGCAATTTCTTTTATATGGAAGAAAATGCCTAGCACCGCCAGCAAAAAAAAGATAAACATTAAATAAACAAAAAGTATAAATAGCCAAATTGGCCAAAATGCCACTTAACTTAATCAGCTGACCATAGGTGCATATAACATATTTATAAATTTATTTATTTGAATCTACCACATTAATTTGGAATGTACCACAATTTTTCATGCTTATTTACCACTAATAAAACTTTTCGTCCGAACACTCTCAACAGCAACTGATTTGATTTGCTTTGCCGAAATAGCAGCGAAGCATCAGTCAATCGTCAATTATCGTAAGACGCACGAAGACGATGATAGTATACATGTGTCGACGTCGCAGCAAGCAGCATTTTGAAGCCCAATTACATGTGTTTGGAAAATCAAAAAGTGCCCGCCTCTGGTATAAAGGAAAGGCGAGATTTCTTAACCACGCTACTGAACGGATTTACACAAGATTTTTGGTGTATATAATAAACGAAGTACATGATGACATATGATTTCTTTCTCCAAATACGTACATACATTCAGCGCGTGGGGAAGCCACGCGCATCTGTGGCCGGCTAGTAGAATATAAATTTAAACGTTTTATAAAGGAGTCTGCTGAATAAAAAATACAGTAAAAAATTGAATATTAATTTGTGATTTGATTTTTGTAGTCATTCGTCGAGCTATCGATGAATCGTAAACATTGCTACCTGTGATTGCTAGCTGGCAAAGGTGAATGAATGGATTTTAAGTTTTGTTTCTTTGCTTTTGTTCTGTTGCTTTTTATTGTTGTTGTTTTATTGTTGCACATAGAGCGTTAACTCATGATCTCCATGCAATAGCTTATCAGAAAAAAAATCAAACACTGGCGTGCGTGCGCTGCAACATGTATGAACAGCATTCAAGACACCGAAAATAAATAATCCAAAACAAATATTTGATGTCTGACCGCAATACAAATTGCCTGATTGTTTTCGTTTGGTAAGACTAAAGCTCATTCTTATTTATTTTCTTTCATTAAAATAAATTCTTTTTTTTTTAGATTGAGCCTTATTTCGTCTTCTTATTCGGAACCAGAAATGAGGTCCTTGATAACCTCATTGCTTCTTGCAATTTACTATTGGATTATAGTGTTTGTTTTTTTGATGTTGGTCGGAAACTGGACTCGAACCCATGCCATGAGGAATGGTAGCGCACACTGCTAACCACTACACCAATCGGAACACAAATTTAAAACAATGAATATTTATTTAATTTTAAACTGTATGAATTGCACTCCAGTGTAAATGAGTACCAACAGTGTTTTTTATTTGGCAACACGAATTCACCATAACACAAAAACGCTTAAAATTGGCGATAAAAATAGAATAAAATTGTTGTGTTATAACTCGTACTATTGTTTTACAGTGTGACGAATGAAAGCAACAACCGCAGATTCGTGAAAAAAACCAAAAAAAATAGTACGAAATTGTTTAGTAAATAGTACGAACGCATTCGTAAAATATACTAAAGATCTTATTTCTCATATTTTCGTAGATTGTACGAAAAGGGTTTCGTACAATTAACGAAAACTTTCGTGGATCAAAATGACGAAAAATTTTGTAAGATGTACGCAAGTTTCCGTTATATTCACGCAGATTTTATTTTCAGTGTAGGAAATTCGTTTAAAAATAAAAAAATTTTTTTGGTACCGGACCAAGATTTTTCGTGGGTGCCCTGTGGATTTAATTTGCCCCAACCTCCTTCCCTAAATTGAGGTGTTTAAAAAAAATGTAAAATACTTCATGTGTACTAGTCTGTAGTGAAAATGAAAAACTGCCTTATATATATATATGTATGTATTCCACTCAACCGAGTTAGTAATAGATTTCAGTTGATAATACAATTAAGATGGCCTAGAGCAGGCCTTCCCAAAGTGGGTGACGCGCGAGCGTAAGCCTTGGGTGCCGCTAGTGGCTAGAGTATACTAGTGGTGCGGGCAAATTCCTTAGACTTTCCATACACAACGCAAGCGGTTTGATCGTCATACTCCATACACAACACAAATAGCTTGCAACAAAGGGATATTTCGCTCTTTAGCATAGTTCCGCAGTACGTTTTGTCAACGTAAAATTTAATCAGAAAAATAGCTGAAAACGTACACTTTACGCAACCACTTTCGGTACTTTTGTAGACCTAATCCGCGTTTGATCCACTTTTCTTCCCGTTTTCGGATTAATGTTCCGATTTTTTGCTGGCTGGGCAGTTCTCGTAACAAGCGCAGCAGTTTCGCGCACGTTTATATAATACTTATTCTTTGGAACTCCACAAACACACTGTCAAAGAGCGAATCAACACGATTTGGTGTATATCTCGTGTTAGTGCGGTACCCATTCGCAATGCAAATCGAAGAAGAACTTTTGATGAGCGAAGTACTACTACCGACGAAATTTTTAAAGCTATCGACAAACTTGTACAAAACAATGGTTTGAAATGGAGCAAGTGTGCGGATATTTGCGGTTGGAAAAACGAAAGGAGCGATGTCTAGGATGAAGCAAGAGGCAGAAAACGCCACGAGAAGTCACTGTATGATCCCTCGGTATTCCCTGGCGACTAGGAAGATGCCGCCACTAAATTTAAAACCCGAAATGGATGACGCTGCGAAGATAACAGAGGCCTGCGAAATTAAAATGCATCTCTGGTTTTTTAAACAAAGTAATCAGAAAGACGTATGTAACTTCGAAGTTAACGCTAAGAAGTTTGATAGCAGCCGGTTTCAGTAGCAGTTTCCATATAAAATTCAAAAAAGTAAAATCATTTTTCACTTAAATTGCTTTCGTGAAATTGGCTGTCAAAATTATATTCATAGCGTTAACGCGCATTACCAGCGTTAACTTGGAAGGTTTGGAAAAAAAACATTGTCGAATAATTTCCAAACAATGACTCTGAGGATGGCTTCAGTTCGCACGATCTCTGAGAACAAAATCGTATGCTGTTGATAGTTTTAAAATATTTTAAATAGATTCGGCTCACAAACGCCTCTTTAGACAGTGGGAAGTTTTTAATAAATCTGTAGACAAATTCCCTAAATATATTTTATGTCAAAATATATTCGACAGACTACACTTAAACCCTCTTAAACATTTTCTACTCCTGGCCAGTTTACCAAGCTCTCATCCTTTGACGAATCGTTGAACCAGAACTCTGTTGTACTCATTTTTACCACGGTTTTATAAACTCGTTTCTTTTTTATTTCATTTTAATTTGCACAAATTTACATACGATCATTTACGTTCATGTATGTACGTTCTCTGATAATACCAAATGAAAATTCGTTCGATCAGCACTTCCGACCACAGTCGAATATCAAATGCAACTCATTATAGGGGCCTTACTTTTACTTTTGTATGTGACTACAGTTAAACCCACTTAAACATTTTCTACTCCTGGCCAGTTTACCAAACTCTCATCCTCTGAGGAATCGTTGAACCAGAACTCCGTTGTACTCATTTTTACCTCGTTTTTATAAACTCGTTTCTTTTTTATTTCATTTTAATTTGGACAAATTAACATACGATCATATACGTTCTCTGATAATACCCAATGAAAATTCGTTCGATCAGCACTTTCGACCACAGTCGAAGATCAGATGCAACTCATAATAGGGGCCTTACTTTTACATTTCTATGTGAGACTGCATTTTCAACAAATGCTTACATAAACAAGTCATTTTTAAGCAAAAAGAAAAACAAAACCGATTTCAATTCCCTTCTAAGAATTTAAGATTATCGTTAATCTATTCATGATCCAATGATCGGATTTAAACCAAATTAGGCCACCTGTCAGGTAACAGCTTTCCTTTAAAAAAGAATTATAGTAGTCGGTTAACGTGGTCCAAAGTTATGCGGTAACATACATGAAGTCGGTTAAAAACAAATACACCAGCAAGCTTTCAGCGTCAAATGATTTCAGGGTAGAATTGTCAAAGCTCCCAATAAACTTAAAGGAAATAATGAAAACATCAAAACAATTTCAGTCCTCACATTAAAGCTAAAGGAGCATAAAGTTTGCATTGTGTTTTCTTGTTTTCGTAGACATTTGAAGAGTAGGGGTGCCGCGAAATTTTTTTAGCACAACAAGGGTGCCGAGGTGAAAAAAGTTTGGGAACCCCTAGCTTAGAGCACACCACATAGTATGTACATACAAAACACATACGTAATGTACATACATACGTAAGTGTTGTGTTAAAGGAAGCGATAGGTAGTATACAGCTACGTTTTTATCACGACATACTGTGTTACACAAAAAGTCTGTGGTAGACTAACAAAAAATATGGAACCCACATTTTATCATTTTGTATATCAAGAATAAATTAAGATAAGTTCAATAATTAATTAATATAGACTTAAGGAAATCGTAGATATATTTTTAATACTTACTCTAATTTGAACTTTTTGTTTCCGTTAACATTTTGCAGTTTCTCTACTTGAGCCCTCATAACATTCCCTGTAAAAATAACTGGTGGTTTTTCTTCATCAATATCTTCAGGTAATGTATAAACGTCACTTGGGTCATATTTAAATAACTCTAGATTGCGGTCTGATCCGTGTTTCACATCCGCAGCAGAATACACAACATAACATAATATTATAACCTGTTGATAAAGTGAAATTAAGTGAAATATTCTGTTCTTGTGCTTGCGGTTCAAACAAAAAATTTTAACTAATCACCCGTTTATACACATGTAGTTACATACACATGTATAACAAAATACTTGTTTTATCGAAATGCGAATGAAGCGAATTTTTCACCGAGTTTTCCGTTTTTAGTTGCAAGCATTGGTTTACTTGCATACATAGGTATATACGTAAGCACTTAGAAATTTGTCTGAAAAGCAGTTTCTGATACGCATATTGAACACTTTCGAAAAGTAAACTTACTAGCTTCATGATTTTCACAGCGTTAAGTGGTTCTTCTTCAAGTTCTTGTTATTTAATGCTTAAAAAACCTTCCAGTTTCCTTATATACCACCTTATTAAATATACAATATAATGACAAAAGATAAGTCAAAACCAGATTTATCAATTCAACTTAACACAAAATCTAAGGTGTACAAATTGACAAGATCCGCTATTATATTAGCCTAAAATATATTCGTTCGTTATGTACATATGTATGAATCGACTATGTATGTACATACACATGTAAACGAACACGATTTCTTACATGCATATGCTAATACCCTGCAGTAAAAAATTATCAAATGATCAAAAAAAATAAGCAACTTTAGTTACTTTTTAACCGACTTCCAAAAAAGGAGGAGGTTATCAGTTAGTCGGAATATTTTTTTTTTTTTTATGTATGTTACCGCATAACTTTGGACCATGCCAACCGATTTCGAGAATTCTTTTTGCATCGGAAAGGTAGTCTCTCAGAGGTGGTCCCATACTATAAGATCCGATCAGTGGATCATGAGATATATATATATATATATTTTTTTATATGACAGTTGAAGTCTGCGTACGAAAATTTCTGAGAAATACCGTTATTTAGCAAGAATATACAAAACAGAACGAAAATACGCATTATTCAATTTAGTGTCCGAACTATAGAGTAAAAAATGTAATATTGTCCGGCTTGTAGCAGTGTCCGGATTATAGATGTGTCCGAACCACCGCGTGTCTGGATTAACGAGATAGCACTTTATATGGCTGACCTTTTCCCCCGATTTGTGGCGGCGCCTTGATGTTGTCACACAAACCCACGATGTAGCAAACAGAAGGTGGCGCATTTCGCAAACCGCTATTTTGGTTTTGCCAATTTTTTAAACAAGGTCTTAAAAACCTTAAATGCACTGAAATTTACTATACTTTTACTAAAATCACCGTTTTTCACATTTCCTTTCTCAATTTTTATTACAAATCATATATTTTCAAAATTTTAAGCAATTAAAACACGTTTCCTATTGAAAAGTATAATATTAAGATAGTTGACTAATCTCACATTCTCTTTTATCCTCCTATTCGGCTTCGCTACTTTTAATCCACAAATGTCATCGCCGTCGGGAATGCGCAATATTGTATTCTATCATTCCCGACACAAACCTACAGTTTTACGCCGCCTCCGAACGGCGATTTCATTTTTATGAGAAGCTGTTTTCCAAGACTGAAATACATTCAAAGGTTTGCCATTGCCTGCCGAGAGATGACCGCTATAAGAAAAAACTTTTTATTTAGTTATAAGTTAGTTGACACCTAATGCAAGATTACACAGCTAATAGTAAATAGCAGCTGAACCCAAATAAGTTTTAAGTTATTTTCAAGTTAGCTTCATTTTATGCAGGGTATGTATTAACATAATCGTGCACATGTAAATATGTATACATACATACAAATGTACTTACCTATATACATTCATACGTATGTATCTATGTATGCTTAATTTCCATACCTTGAT